GTTGGTTTGAGGCTATTTTTTTTTCTGCTGCAACTGAAGATATTCATAGTAATCTCTGGAGTGAAAATGGTGATATTGCAGCTCAATCAACTCATACCCTAATTCACCTCAAAAATTAAATTCCTTCATTTTACTAAAAAAAAAAAAAAAATCAAATAAACCTCCACACTCCGAAATAAAATCTAAGTGAATTTTCAAGTCATGTACAAATTCACAACCCACCCAACCAGTCATACCCAAAGCTAACATACAATCAATCTCTCAGAAGCACTAATGAGATTTCACAACCTGTTCAATTTCCATGTGCAAAACTTGGTATGCAATTCTGTCCTCAAATCTTCAAAGTGTCCAAGTGTCAGGGAAAATTGAGTCCATGATATGCTAAACGTAATTTTCAGTCTTTGAGAAAACAATGCATGAATCCAAGATCCTAACACTCACCAAATACACTAGGTGCCAATGCAATTACTCAGCTCTAACCATTCACTGTAGCCTTAGGAACAGGCTCAATTTTAGCCCAAATCATGACTTTGAAGAAGGAAAAATAAATGCTGTCACTAGCAGCAGGAGAAGAAACAATATATTATTGCACAAATCCAATAGATCCTGATTTTGTCATGGGGCTGACTGAAGAGATGGAGCTCAGATGGATAAATTGGGCTCCAGCCCATCACTTCTCAGCCTGCTGGCCCTCACCACGCACACACACACTGCTGCCAGGGCCACCCTGGGCTGGTGGAATGGTACCCATTCATTTCAGAGGCATTGGCACAGCCACTACCTTTCCCAGAGCTGATGTGGGAGGGCCCCTGAATCAGAACATGCCAGAGAAGTGTCTGGCATACAGCAAGAAATAAAATATCTGCAGCCCAGAACTAAATTATAGGCTGAGAGATTAATTTTGAAAAATGCATTTTTAAAGATGATACATATGTTCTTTTTTATATATGTATATATCAGACACTGCTACATATGAAGCTGGCTGTCACTATCTTAGGATGAAGGACAACTAAAATGTGTGGTTTGTTTTCCTCTTCTAAGAGCCAGAGGACCTTATGTTTCACGTTCATCACTTTGCCTCTTTCCAGTCCTTAAAAAAGGACACAGATAAGAGGAGACTGAATGAAGTGCTTGTTTCCAGTGACAGCTTAAATGATTTTTGCACATGATTGGAATAATTTGCTGTTTATTTAACTTTGCAAGTGTTTTGGAAGACGTCTTGTAACACTGACTGTTTTTCTCTGCTGGGCTGCTGCTTTCAGTGCCTCAAGCAGTTTCCCTCTGTTCCATCACAGAAAGTGATGTGATCTTCTGGACTTTTAGCCACTGAGTAAGATTTGTCAAAAGAGAGCTGCAGGACAGACTTCTCAGCCTGCAAAACCTCTCTCCATCAGCCCAGCACTATCAATGCCCAGTGGGGCTTGCTCCAAGCAGCTCCCACACAGTGCCCAGGGAGCCACTGCAAGGAGTGGGAGCTTTCATTGCTGTGCTAGCAGTGGGCTTAACCACCAAAGAGCAGCTCCTCCTGAGCAGTCTGCCAAACAGGCTCAGAGGTTTTTGCTTTTTCCCTCTCCATAGGCTGGACTCTGAGACTTATCACATCCCTGCCTGTGCTGCTCAAAGAACGTGTGCTTTAAATTGCACTTTTGGTAACCATGGTGAAATGCACGGTCCCATTTCTTATGAATAAAGACTTTCCCAAATATCTTCTAATGTGACTGCCCACGAGCAAAAACTTATTCTTCGACATCCTCTCCTCCCTGCTCTCAGCTCTGATGAATACAAAAGATGCATCAAATTTTTTTCCACATTGAAAAAACTTCAGTGTTACTCACCGGGGCGTGATGTATAAAACTGCAGCCAGTGCAAGGAGATCAGCCCATACAAAGCATTCACATATTCCTGGCTAAAATAGCTGTGTTTTTTGCTCTGAACATCGTCACTCTCAGGAATTTAGATTTTTCTGAACATCTTAGTGTTCATTATAACTCTCAAATGTAGGATTTGCTCTTGCAATTTCCATGCACAGGTCAAGCAGTCAGCTCTAACAGTTTCACCACCAATTTCTTACAGACACTCAGTGATTCACTTTTAATTCTCCCTCATTTGCCCTATTAGCATTCTGTTAATTAAACACAGAAAGTGCCTTTACTTTCCTCAGAAAAACACATTCCTGCTTAACCCTTGATTTATAGATGTACCTCTGCAGGCTGTTTCAACGAGATTAGAGTTTGCACACGGTTTTTGTTCTTGGTTTGTAGACATTATTCTGAGGAAACCTTGCAGTACAACATCAGACTCGCTGTCTGGCGTTTATACAGGAATTTTGCCTAGCCTAGTTTGACTGCTGAGATAATTAATAGTCTTTAGTAACCATGATTCCCTGCCTGTGAACTTCAAAGACAGCAGCAGTTTAATATTCTTCCTTTGACTTTAAATAGCAGACAGTTATTACAGTATTACATGATTTGGAAGTGAGGGACTGCACAGGAACTACTAATTGAAGTTGGCTAGAGGGCTTCACCAAATCTACCTCGAGTCAAGCTGTGTATGGGGAAAGGATTATATGATTTTTCTAATTCTCTCTCCATTTCCAGCTGAACTCTGTCAAACTCAAATTATTGTATTATCCAGCTTATATTTCAACACATTAGTGTGTGCCTGTCCCAGAACCACCCAGTGCTTAGGGACTTCCAGCTGTGGGCTCTGTCTTCCACAAGGCTTGCTCAGCTCTGTTCTCACCTCCTGCTCAGCCTGGGGCCACATCAGGATTTGTGCCTGTGTGTAAGCACAAATGCTGTGTATTTCAAGTCCTTTCACAGGTCTTCAAACACCCTGAGAGATATCTCCACGTATTTCCTTTCTGTTCTCCTGCCTCTTCATTTCTGTGCCACATCTTAAACAAGCACAAACCAGATGTTGTGTAATAACATGAGACACAGCAATTAGAGCACCTCTCTATGGCTTCAGAGGTGTGGATATGAGTCCAACATGAGTCCATTTTGGCTCTTGGGCCAAAATTTGCTGCTTCTCCACAGAGGAAGCACATGGCTCCCTCCTCCTCCTCCTAGGACAGCTGTCAAACCAGACACCCGTGTTGCCCAGGTTGTGTCAGAGCGTGATGGACGAGACTGTGAAGTTCCCAGAGGGTCCTGTGGGTGCAGCTCTGTGTGTACCAGGTTATAATTGCAGAGCCAGAGCCTGGAGCCTCCTGAGCTGCTTGGGAAATACTCTGTAGTTCACAATTTCAGTGCTAGCTTCAACACTAGTTATAAAAGCCTGGTGCATTTTGAGACCACCATGCCACTGTTGTTGAAGGGCGTTCCAGGGGCAAGTATACTGGATATATGTAAATAAATACTGATGAATCCAAAAAGGAATAGAATGGCTTTCCCCAAAATCAAATACATAATTTTACCCTTTCTGTCAAGTTGCCTGATGTGTCTTCAGAATGGCAGGAACCCCAGGTCATAAGAAGTAAAAGCCATTCTCACTTTGTAGACCAGATTTCCCATGTTTAAAAACCTCAGAATGAAATCCCTTATTTTCTCCTACATCCCATTGCTGCTTCTTGGCTGCAGGCTGTACCATCTCCACATACTCACTGTCTCCAAGTCTTTACTTGGTTTTTGGTGAACACCCCAGACAGGAACATAAACACTAACACACTTCATCTGCAGATGGAAAGATTAAAAAACTTGCTAAAAAAGGATGTACAGAATGCTCATAGGAGAAAGGTAGGGAGTTTAGATACCTAGATGACTACAGCCCCATCCATTGAGCTCATCTTCCTCTAAACTGCAGCTGAGTTAACAGAAGCTCTGTGAGCACAGCTGTGCCTGTGTGGAGACACTTTCCCCTAAGCTCCCCTGTACCCCTGCAGAAAGGAGGAGTTTCTTACAGCAGAAATCCCAGACAAAACACTGCCTGATTTACAGAAGGTCCATGCATACACCTCTGTGATATCTGAGCTAAGATTATGAGCCCTTCTTGCCCACTATTAGACTTAAACCAAATCCATTCAATTTTTCACCAAGGACTCATGAAGACAAGACACTGCACGGGAGAGATTTCATGGCAGTGTTTCTCCCAAGCCTGGGCACAGCATTGCAGTAGCTGGGCTAACCCACACTGCAGCCCCTGCCTCAGCCAGAGCCAGGACACAGCCACGGGAATGCCACCCCATCCCTCAGCTCTGCTTTGCCTTTGCTGACCTCTGCACAGCACAACCTGCCCTTCCTTTGGTCTGCATTTCTGAGGATTCCTACAGCAAGGAAAAGCCCTTTTTGGAAAAAAATCCACTGAACAAACAAACAAAAAAGAGCAGGTGGCTAAGGAGGTATGTGGTTAATTACTAGGCATATAGTTATCTAGCAGTGCAAACTGTATAAAACTTCTACATGTACAGCTGATGAAACCAGAAAACATCTGCACATGTACATCTGGTGACCAGAAAAGGCCAAGTAACCTTTTGCCAGAAATTCTCAATGTAGGTAGAGTTTTAGCATAAAATCACATCTATATAAATATATTCAATGCCAACTCCCATTTTATTCAGCAAAGATTATTGCACTTATATAGCTGCTCCATACCTATTCTTCTGATCTATGTACATTTATACTTCAAACATGAGAATTTACCTGAAGCTTACAGTTAGCTAGTCACCAGTTCATAAAGCTTTTCATCCAACTAAAGAAGAAGAATAGCACCCAGGTGACCAGGAAAAAAAACATGACAGGGTTTGATTTACAGCATATCCAACATCTGCAGTCTTTTAAACAAATTATTCCCAGCACGCTTATAAATAAATAAGGCACAAATATCACAATTTATGAAGCATTTTTGAAGAAGGGAAAAAAAAAAAAAAAAGCCAGACTACATTCATTAAAATAGTCTGGCCACATTTAGATTTAGAAGGTAAACATGCATGTTGGAATCCAAGCTGCAGCATTTCCTTTTCTTACACTTTTCATAAGACTCAGCACACAAGTTTTGCTTACCATTTAATGTTCCACACAAGCTTCTTCATCTGGAAATCTGTTGCTACTTATGTTGCCAGTGCATGTGAGGTAATCCAGAAGTTGTTTTTCTGTGAGATGTTTAATAATAAAAATAAATACCACATTATTACTTCATCTATTTACAGTGAAAACCCTAAGGAAATATTTCAAATTTACCATTTATTGAAGAAAAAATAAAATTAAAATAAGCACATTATGCTCTTGGAAATAAATTTTCAGCTCCTCTTTATTTTTTCTGATGTATTCATCAAAGGCTTATCAAGGGGCTTTGGGATGAGTTATAGGAGTTTTTGCTTTCATACTTTTAAAAGTCAATTTTCTGTGTGTTTGCAATTTATTTAATGTAGCCTTTGGGATTGTTGAAGCAGAATTCTAAATCTCCAGAGAAATCACGGCCACTTAAATAATCTAAATAGCACTAATATGTTTTCTTACTCTTAGCTGCTTTATTAATGTTCATAACAATTCAAATATAATGTGCAAAATATGTATAAATGTCTTCTCAGTCTTTGTGGCACTGGATGTTATCTGTAAGTCAGCAAAGGCTGCTGGACTGACTCCAAGAGCAAACATGGTCATGGTCAGACATTTCTGTCCAGCAAACCAAACAGTAAGAGCCAGGGGAAAAAGGGTTAAGGGTTTCCTCCTGATGTCCAAGTCAGAGTTTGGCTGAGCACTGGGATCTTTTTGTGTTCAGGGGTTCACAGCCAGCACTGGAACAGCCTCAGTGGCTGTGCCAGAGCCTTTGGAGATCCCACTGGCCTTTCCAAAGGAGCCACACTGGCTGGCAGAGACACCTGCACTGGCTCTGCCAGCGCCTAAGGGGTTAAAATGGACAGTGCTGACCCTCCCCTTGGCTTCCAGTGAACAAAAGGGGATCTCTGAATAGGAGCTGAAGATTTCATTTCAAAAGGTATTAGAGAAGTGATACAGAGGCACTATCTGATACCATTTCGGTGAAAGGACTACGACAGTGAGGTAAAATTATTACAGTTTCAGTGTATGTGTCCTTTTTTCCCCTCGCAGAAGAATCAAGATACTTCAAGCTCTTTAAGAAAAGAGACAGTAAAAGGGGAATGACAAAAGCTTGAGCAAAGGGTCAGTGGCAGGTCCCTGGGACTGATTACCTCTTTGAAATCCAGGCAGCAGGGGATGCAAGGTGTCAAAGGCTGCAAAATCACTTCTGCTGAGCATCTAATCACCAATGGGTCTGATCAGTGGAGAACATGGGGTGAGGGACCAGGAGAGATCACCAAGGAAATACAATGAATCATGCTGCTTTATACTGAAGGGGAAAAAAGGAAAAAAACCAACAAAATGCAGCCTACAGAAACTGGCAAAGGAGACAGGCAAAACAAAGAATTAATAAAAGACCTAGCTGTGAGGGTAAATAAATAAAAAGTGGAACAAATAAGATCTAAACATTTTTGCCAAGTCTGTGGGAGCTCATTGACTTTAAAGAATGACTTCTCACAGAAACTCTTTATCCAGAGTAAAGAGCCTGGGGTAGGTAGGAGGGGATAGGTTAGGAGTCACCATCTGACCCCAGGAAAGAAGAAAATGGCACAGAAAATGTCAGTTACAAAATATGGAAATGTCTTTTCAAAGAAGTGAGGAGGACAAATGGGAGACACTTCCCCAAAACCCAGGCTGTATGACCTTCCAGGTTTCCCAGGGAGAGGAGCCCTGCCCCACTGGGAGTGATTCTCCAGGGCTGAAGTGCTTCACTGACCAAGAGCACTGCAAAACCCATCAGCAAAACCCTGCCAGCCCCTTGGCATCTACCCGAGGAGAACAGAAATTGTACTTGTGCTTCAACAACATAAATGCAATCCCCAGCCCCTTTCCTACCCCAGCTCCACATTTTCACTTGTTTAAGGCACCACTTTGCTCTAATCACTGGTGACCACTCACCACGATGGACAGGGCATGAAAAGAGAGGCCACAGGTCCCTACCCTTCCCCAGGCCAGGCTACAGCCCCTCACACTTTGCTTTTCTTCATGAATGGCAGCAGCCATTTAAAACACACATTGAAAGAACTGCTTTCCTGTAGATTGGCATAGCTGTGGTCAGGGAGAATTTACAAAAGCAACATCTGCACATGTACACGAGGACATGCACTTCTGAAGGGACTGAGAATTACACTTCCAGAATTAAAATGGAAAATGCAATTCTATTTAATGATGGTTACAGGATTAGCTATGCTTTTCTAGATAAACCTGGGTAACAGCAAAGCATCACTTGTATTGTTAAGAGCTGTATTTATCATGACCTCTGGCAAGTTCAGAAAGAAACTCCCATTAAACAGGGTGGATATTTACCTCTGGATTACTCTTACCTTACCAAGTTTCAGGGAACGTACTGGTATCTAGTGGCTAACTGATGTTTATCAACAAAGTATTGAGGCAATACTGTTGTTTCTTCCCAGTTACAAGCTACACATTTGTTTCACACTGTTTTCACTACTTGTGTGACCACTAAAACAATATTTTCAAGATAATGAGGTTTCTAGTGGTTTTGAAATGTTATTTAAATGCTGATTTCAGAAGTACTGTTCATAACCTCTGTTAGGTCTGCCGAGAAAGCACAATTTTCAAGAGGTTTATATCAGCATAAATCTATGGAGTTTTGTTGAGACATTGCATTCAGAGAAAAATTTTGCCACTCACCTGACTAGATACTTTTTAGCTAAGTCAGTGGTTTGTGAGTAACCTGCAGAACCATAAATTGATAGGCACAGAAAAACATTTCAGTTAAATGTGATCCCTGAATGCCTTTAAAGTTCTTTTTCTCTTCTTTTAATGCTGTTCTTTTAGTTTGGAGGAAATTTTATACATCCAGTTTGGTTTTAACCCATCTCAAAAGTACTTTTGCAAATGGAGTTTGCTACTCAGGAAGCCTGATTCTCCATGATAGCAAGAGGGGATGGATGGATCTTTGCTTTTCTAAAAAGACAAGGTGTGTAGCTAGGTGTGTGGCTGGGCTCCTGAATGACATTATATAAGTTATGTTATCCTTCTTTGCTTCAGATTCCCACACATTTGGAAATAAATAGATAAAACATTTAAAAATTCTCTAATAAAATCCTTGAAACAGGTGGGTCTCATTTTTCTCAGAAGAAACAAAGACCTGTGCATTTGCAATGTGGCCAGAGCAAGGATTGGTAAAGCAGGTCTGGCTCTGACACTGCCTTCCTCTGTGGCTCAACTCACTTCTCTTTGCCTTCACTTCCTACACCTGTAATAGGTGGTATTTATTCTGCTTCACCTGCACAGAATCCTGTGCTAAATCTTAGTCTGCCATGGAAGAAAGACTCTGAATTACTGAATAATAGAGTTGAGAACTCTCTAGAAGAGACCTCTGGAGCTGGTCTGGTCCAACTCCCCCCCCCCCACTCAGTCAGGGCCACCTACAGCAGCTGCTCTGGACCACCCTCAGGTAGGATCTGATTATCCCCAAGGAAGGAGACTCCACCACCTCTCTGGGCAATCTGTGCCAAGGCTTGGTCATCCTCACAGGAAAAATGCATTTTCTGACATTCAGAGGGAACCTGATGCATTTCCAGTTGTTCCCATCACCTCTGTCCTGCCACTGGGCACCACGGAGAAGATCCTGGTTCTGTCCTTTTTGCACCCTCCCTTCAGGCATCTGTACACATTGATTTGTTCCCCCTTGAGGCTTCTCTTCTCTGAGCTGAACAGTCCCAGCTCTCTCAGCCTTTCCTCATAGGGAAGATGCTCCAGCAGTTTATTCATTTTTGCAGCTCTTGGCTGCCCTTGTTCCAGTAGCTCCATCTCTCTCTTGTGCTGGGGAGCCTAGAACTGGATGAACATCTATCAATAGCTGAGAAAAAATAGATAATAATTACACAAACAAAATAACTTCCCTTAGAGTTAGAGACTTCAGGGGTCTACTGCTTAGTTTACCAAGAAGAAAGTTAAGGGAGAAGCTTGACCACAATTTTTAGGGACAAAGACATGGAATACAATGTAAGTTAAGTAATTGTCAGTTCATCAGACAAGAGTGAAACAAGGCCAAATGACCCAATTTGAAAGGGGACAGAAGAGAAATGAAGTACAGTACAACAGCTGTTTAACAATGGCAGCAATTAGCTGCTGGAAAATTTACCAAGTATTCCGGCTGATTCTCTGTATCTGGTGATTAAATCAAGATCAGATTTTTTGTCTCCTTTGAAGTCTTGTCCCAGTTTCATATAAAAATTCCTCTGGCCTGTGTGATGCAATAAGTCAGACAAAAAATTATCACAACAGTTCCTTCTGGCTCTATCATCCACTGTTTTATATGAGAAGACATTTGCTCTTCTAAGGATTAGGCAATCAAAATTGCAAAACAGAGAATTACTACAATTCAGCAGGGTTGAATGCCTTGAGTTAGTCTTTGCCTCAGTCTCAGAACAAAATTCTGAACACAAAACACTACAGAACTTGTCTCTAAAGCCAGAAACAAGACAGAGAAGAATTTGGTAGTTTAAATACCAGTTTGGAGTACCCAGCCTATCTCAGCTGTGCTCTAATCAGCAGCAGCACCTGTGTGCCAGACACAGGCTGATAAAATCTCCATGCTGCTGATCATGATCAAGTGTGGCAGCCAGATTTGTTTATAAAAAACTGAAGCACATTTAAAGGAACGCTGTTAAGGGGCTCTTTGTCCTAGCAAAACCGCTCAGAGTAAAAAAAGCCTGCATTTACCCTGGAGAGGAGTCCTTTAAAAAACAATTCTTGAACATAGCTAGGAGCTGGAATGCATTGACTGGCATAGGTCAGGCTGCTGCAGCAATTATGAGTTTGGATTCTGGAGCCAGTCTAGCAAGGAAGAGCAACTTTTCTGCACTAGCCTTGATAACAGGTTTCTGGGGGACACTGCTCCTTGGAAGCAAAGTCTCTGATGCCATTTGTGAAGGTGCACCACGAGAAGACGGGAAGGCATTAGCAGAAAAAACACAACATATGTTAATCATCTGCAGTTCAATCACTTTTCTGTATAGCTAGGAAATGAATATTTTTGTGTACTGCTAAGCACAAGACTGTGACTCTTTGTAGATAATCCTTGAACTGAAACAATAAAGAAAGCAGCATGCTGCTTGTCATTCTATTGCAGCCCTTGTGAGAGCCAAAATAAGCTTTAGGGAAGTTCATGTCTAATTTTCAGACTTGGCTGCCCTAAAGACATCAAGGAGCCCAAAGAATTTCCCTACAGATGAGTCATCCTTACTAATTCCATGTTATTTCTCAGGCCAGAGGTGAAATCCAGCCCAGATCCAGAGCCATGGACCTGTGGGAAGGTTTGGATGGAGCATAACTGGGCATGGAGTCTGCTCATCAGGAACATGCCACCTCCTAAGCAGACAAGCAATGAGAAGTTCCAGAGGGGACATGGATTTATTTTTCAGGCATGGAGTGCAATGTCCCCATAGCCATGGGCAAGCCCATGGACAAAGCCTGTGTTTTCCCACTAGAGGATGACAGAAAGGAGTGGGGGCTGAACATCTACTCCTGACTGCACCATATCTGTATGTGCTTGCAGCTGATATAGATTTGCTCCACTGGCTGCTCAGGTACCATGGCTGCTGGAGGACTCAAAAGCTAGTTAGGAGGATACTATATAAACCCATGAACAGATTTTTATCTTTTTCATTTGGTGCATATCACCATACACTGTGGGTGGAGGCAGTGGTACAAAAAACCACTGCCAAGGACAGCTCTCCCTCCTTCAGCCAAGGCTGGAGCTACATCCCTTTTTCAATTTTAGCTCATTTGCTACAGCTGAATAACTTAAAAAATGATGCAACAGGGTGAGAAATTTAAATTTAAGCTGTGTGTGTTTATAAGCCAAGGAAATAGCAGTATTATTTATTTTGTCCCCAAACCCCTGGTAATCAGCACACATACAGCTGTATCTAAGTCCTTTCTCTTCACACACATACCATCAACTCTTCTCTCTCCTGCTCTTGGCATCCCTTGTTATGCCTGATTCATTATATCTGCTGGAAATTTTTGAAAAAGAAAGCTCAAAAAATACTAGAAAAAAAGAAAAAAAGAAAACATTTACTGGTAGAGGAAGGAGAAATAACAGCAGCCTTGAGTTCATGAAAAAGAAAGGGAGCAGGTGGTTCTCCGTGTCTGCAGGAGATCAAACAAGAGGAAACATTTAAATTATGCAAGAAAAATAGCTAAATAAGCAACCAGAAAACTCTGAGGGGATGTCTTTAAGACAAACACCCCTGAGTTCAAGGCCAGGTTGGACGGGACTTTGAGCAACCTGGTCTAGAGAAAGGTGTCCCTGCCCAGGGCAGGGGGAGGCAACCAGATGATCTTTAAGGTCCCTTTCCCAAACCATTCTATGCTTCCATGAGGAACATCCCCTCCTGAGTTTATCTATAGTATATCTCAGCAATCACAACATTCAGAAAGCACAGAAAATGTAAAACACCAATGCACAGACATAGGAACTACAAATTGGTTAATAAAAGTTATGTAAAACCTTAGCTGATATCTGAAAAAGACAATTGGCCTGAAGTCTCACTTGCAGCATTATTTTTGTGAGGGCCAGAGGTCAAATTCACAACCTCCAAAGGGCATTCAGATGAACTGAGTTAATTTTCAGGGGGATTTGGATGCAAAACTCTTTTCACATAAAATCTCAAATCCTTCCCCCTCTGATTTTCCTTTTTCCCTCCAACAGGTTTTGCCTGTGAATGCTAATGGTGCAGAGACAGCACCTAAAATAATCTGAGGTGCACACACTCATACTAGATCCTGAGGGAACCCAGCACATTTGCAGAAAGCCAGTGACACACTGGGGAATAGCGATGTCAAACCAAGACCTTCTCTCCATTTCTGTGGGGAGTCTTGGCTAACATCCAGCTCAGACGGAGCAGCTGAAAGCCATTTTTCTCTGATGTTCTTTAAAAGCCTAAATGCAATGAAATACTAGTGTGAGGCCATTTCCCAATGAGCAAAAGTGTCAAAAAGCCACCATCAGAGCTGGATCTAATTGGCACTCCCAGCAGGAAGCGCGGAGGGAAAGGGCCAGACACAATGCCCTGCCTCCTGTGGCACTTGTTACAAAACTTTCTGCAGCACTTGTTCCAACTTTTGGGGCACTAAGTTTCATTTTTTTTCCCACCCACATCAAACCCCCCATGCTCTATTATAGTTAAGCAGACACCTTGCTGACATGTTCTGCCTCTTCATCCTTCCTGGCTTTTGCTTCCAGGGAACAGTTGTTGCTGTATGAAAAGTCACACCCTGGATCCATATTCCTGATTGGTTAAATGAAATTTGAAATTCTTGACCCCATGCCAGGCCCATGACCATTCTGGACTCAAAACTGCCATGGCTGCATTTAAATATATTTATCATTTTTGCTATCAACAGAATATGACTCAATTGAGCACAGAGTTATAGGGTCAAACATCATCAATTCTGCAGCTGAAGCCTTACCTCCCCACAACTTGCTCCCAGGTCACTCCCTATTACAGTGAAACAATCTCAGAATCAAACCCTAAGCTCTGCAAGATTGGCTGGATAACCTGACCAGAAAATCAGCTTTTTTGAGCTAACCAGGCTTGCTCAAGAGCTTTGTGTGAATTTCTGTCATGAGTAGGTTCATGGCAAAGCAGGCACAGGTAAGTTTTGCTATGGGTAGTCCTGCAGTCGTTGCCAGCCTAGCAAACCTGGTTTAGGGTCAGTGCCACACCAGGCTTCCTCTGGGAAAACAGCCAAGTCCCACTGAGTGCAAGCAGGTGAGCCTCTCACTTTTCTCCCTTTCCTTGCAGCCTTCACTTTGCCTGGAAATTTAATTACCTGGAAATTTAATTTCCACTGTGCCTGGAAATTTAAATTACCCTACTCCAGGCACTTCAGAGGGCAAATCTGTTTAAAAAAGATACAAAACTCATGAGAGAGGATGATTAGGTACCACCAGCAGCTAGAAAAGCATTACCTTGTTTCCAGTGGTTATCTGCAGCTCTCCATGAATGTATGCTAAAACAAGTAGCACTTATTTCCCTTCAAGAAATAGCTTATTTTACAGCATCCAACATTAGGTGGTTTCTAGAGCCCTCCCAGTAGTAGAAGAAGAAAAAATCACAACAGACTCATTTTCCTCACTAATTCTCCTCCTAAGGCATTCATCTACTCTGCACAGTTGAGTTTATTTCCTCATTCCCCTTTTTTCTTCACTCTGTCCTCTTTGTTTCCATTCCCTCACTCCCTCTATATTTTTCTCCTCCTTTTCACCTTCTGCTCTATAATTTGTGCTAGTCTGCAGGGAAACTTAAGTAAGAGCAGCAAATTTTATGCTTTAACCTGAGCACAAGAAGATTGGTCATTCTCATCTCCTCTGAAAAAGAGTTTGAAAATTTTGGTTTTGCAGCCCTGGATATGAAAAGAAGCATAAAAGAGAAATGTAGCAAAAATTGGCAAAGAGTGCATAATAGAGCAACAGGTTGTTTCTGGACTCTGGCACTGACTTTCCTACCATCCAGAGTTTGGAGAGGACAAGGCACATGGCAAATTCAGACCAAATTTCTGCAGCACTGCTTGACCAAACAAAACCCCCAGGCTTTCTACACTGTCAGACTTAACTCTTGCAACAATTCTTTCAATGCTGAAAGAGACTTGTCCAAAAATATCTTGGGAGTTTTGTCCAGAAAGAAGCCTGTGTGGGCATTTCAGACACCAGTTGTTGTTAAAGGAGATGCCAAACCTTCCATATGAGAGGGAAAACATCAACAAGTCTCTTTACTGACAAGCACCAGCCCAAAGCAGGAAGGTGCCTGGACAGGGAAAAGACTAGACCAATAGTTCCTGGACAGCCCATTAACAGAAATGCACCCTCAAATCCTGCTCAGGCAGCTTCCAGTAAACACATTTGTAGAAAGAACTATTAGTACAGATAATTAACAAACTAAAAAAAAAGTCAAATGCAGTCTTTCTGCGAATTCAGCTCTATTACTGTCCTATATAACAACATGAATGCTCTGCACCATACATTAAGTTCTGCACAAAAAGGGGGAAATAATATAGGCTGCTATCAGATTCCTTTGATTCCTCCCTTTTTTCTGTAGTATGTTATTAATTAACACATAATTATTGTCCTTTTTTGTAATGTAAAGAGATTTTAATTTTGCTTTTCTGGTTCCATGCCATTACTGCAGACAGGACGGTTTTGTATGAAAGCAATGGCTGGTGATGTGTAATACAGCAGCTGGTTCCAAAAACTTGATTTCTCTGTTTACATCCCTGGCTTTAAAGTCCCATAGCAACTGAAGAAAAAATAATAAAAATTCCCAACTAAATTACCATATTGAAAACTTTCATATAATCCTATTTATGCAGAAGGGTTTTTCTTACAGCATTTTGCAAAGTTCCTTCCCAGCTGCTAATATTTTAATAAAATACCTTTATTATTATAGAGTGCACTGGGAATTAGATCTGGAACTTCTCTAACTGCAGCTTAGCTGAGAGAAAGAAATACACCATTAAAACCTTTGCTGCTCAGGTCTTTTTACTATTTCTTTCCCTTTCAAAGTGTTTTGACTAATTTCAAGCCTTGCACCTGCTTTGATCACCCATTTTACTGATTACATTTTCTTTACCCCTGCTAGAGAGGAGATTGGAGCTTTATTCCAGCCTCAATGACAACTCTTCCATCAAGAATGCTTTAAGTGATAAGCACTTTCCTTGGCAGCAAAGAAGGAAAACCATGATCCTGTGTTACACACAGAAACCATGATTCTGTGTTACACACAGAAGGCTGCCTCAAAAATAAATAAATAAAAGAACTCACCTAATATTTTATCTTGCATCTTCTGAGTCTCATCAGAGGAAATTAAAAACAAAATTGGCTTCTTGAGAGGAGAGATCAGACAACTTAAAGAACAGCTGCAATTTGTGTTTCTGAGAAATGAAAATTGAAATGCAGACTAAAGTGGATATAGGGTGATTTATTAACCTACTTTCTCCATTCTTTCTGAGTTGTCAGTACATTCAGCAGATTATCAATAGCACCATCTTTAATGTATGATTTTCAAAATGAAATTAAACTGATAGCTCCCTGTGTCTCTTCCTTCTCACCTCACAGGGAGCACAGGGATGTTCAGAGACCCTTGCAGCTCCTGCTTCCCAGCAGTGCTGCTTGTGCCAAATGTTTGAGAGCTCACCCAAACACACCAGGCCTGCTCATGAGCAAAAAACATC